ATAAACTAGATTGCACAATGCTACTTAGTGAGATTTTGTTGCCCTTGTACTGGACCAGGAAAGCAAAAACAGCCTCTATGCCAAGCTAAGCTACCCTGCAACCCTCTAGCATCTTTAACCCTACACATTAGGTTAAAAGTTGAGATGCACTCCTCGTGAGTGTGAATGTTTTGGCAATGTTGGGCTGAATGACTACAAAACATTGATCTTTAAAAGTGTAAAATTCAAGAAGAAGGTTCCTCGTTCAAATCTCGTGGTCAATGGGTTTCGTCCAGGATATTAAGTGTCCTAAATATGACCTTGTTTTTACTGAAGAAAATCCCAAATAATTGTGCATCAAATTCTTTGACCCTGGACTCATGTTAATAAAGAAATGGCAAAATTTCATAAAGAGTTTATAATGGTGTGCATGAAAAGGTAGTGATAAGAAAATTTCTATTTCACACCATGACCCACAGACCGCTTAAACAGACTCAGTGTGTACAGGGTTGTTAACTCTGTGTACTTTGCAGGTTCTGTGCTGTACATGTACGTTTACACTTCGTTTGGAGTCCTGTATTTACAATTGTGGACTTGTTTGCATTGTCAGTCTGTTGTCGCTGTGTATTTGTCTGTGTGTATGTTTTTTAGGGCTCTAGTTTTCCTGCCAATATGTCTTTTGCACACCATGGTTGTGTTTATTGGGGAAATTATTCTCTGTCCTGATATGAAAAAAATGTTAACACAAAATAATCTTGTAATATTCTACTCTATTCTATTGTCAGCAAAAGCCTACTAAAAGCTGACATTTCCTGTGCCAGAAAGCTCCGCTGTTCTCCAAAAGCATATTAAAAGCACATCCATGAGTCAACACTGTTGTATTGTGCGACATGATCTTTCTTTGCTATGGACACACATTGTAGTCTGTTTTAGTTTACTTCTCACGTACAGCAGAACAAACCTAACTCACTGTTGTTTTTAGTCTTTTCATGCGTATTGTTTGCAGATTCCAGGTTAAGATGTTAAAAAGATTAATTCCTAATGGAAAACTGAACTTTCACTAAACACCATAATCTGCCAGAAGTACCAAATGTATATTCGTTTACAGTTAAAAATAGTTTATTTATTTTAGTGTAGAAAAACCTGTTCCAGGTGATCTGAGAATTTAAAAAGGAAACTACATAATTGAGATTTTCTTTTTCTTTTTTAAAAAGAGACTTGAATACAAAGTAAAAACCAGTGAGCTTGGAGTGTGTGAGTGAAAAAAAATGCTTATTGTATATTCCACAAAGAACCGGGCAGTTATCCACTAACAGCTGCAAGGCTTAAAAAAGTGAAGGAAATAATCATTTTAATATATATTATCAAAGTCTGTAAATCTTTATTTCTTTTAATGCATTTTAGCTCTTTTATTTATAAAGTATAAAGAAATAAAGCATGAGAAAATTGTGAATGACCCCAGCATTTCAATTAAATCCAATAACTTCTTTAATTTAACTGAATTATTGTCTTAGAGAAAACCAATATTGAATTTAATAGAAGCGATTATATGAAATAAGCCCTTTTTGTGCCACCACACCAGCACTTGAAAGCTTTTCCTAGAAGCTGTTTCATTTTCTTTAGAACTACATGCAGATTGACATGTTTCAGGATGTCCTCTTGCACAGTTTAAAAGCAAAACGTTTCTGCTTTCTGTTTCACCAACACAGTGATCAACCCTCTGATACAGAGCTGACTCACACACTTCGGCTTTGCTTTGTGGGTTTAATCAGCACTATCAAACTTGTTAACGTCAGGCTGGGAAACAATCTGGTACATAGGGTTACCACCCAGTCATATATGAAGCTCTTCTCTGCACTCATCTGTATTCATGTCGACTCTGTACAGACTGAACTGATCCATGTGTTTCTTGTTTCTTCCAGCTGGTCCTTACAGTGGTCTGGGGGAAATACTCTACAGAGAGAGTGTCCCCATGCACACTTTTGCCAAGTTTCTGTTCACCTCCCTGCTACCTCACGATGCTGAACTGGCATATAGAATTGCACTGAGGGCTATGAGGTGAGTTACATGCTGTCTATATTTAAATGTAGTTTAAATATAGACATGAGAAAACATAAAAACAAAACCAACAACATTCTGAAAACAGGATGTTTCACTTTCCAGTTGCTTGTTTTTGAATGGATAGCCAAGGTGACAGTTCAAGGTAATTTCCTTTATCGCCTGTCTTTTATTTTTCCCCACCTCCAAACTATATCGTCTTAGGACCTAATTCTAAATATCCTGTATGGAAAAATACTCATGTGTGATTTCAGTGGCAGTACAACAACCATTGAAAACAGGATTTTTTTTTTAAAAAGGACAGAATACTAGTATCCACCACTGATATAGTACCTTTTGTACTTGTATAACATCAGTGATAAAGGTACTTATTGTAAGTTCCTGAAGCTGTTAACAGAATGTGAACAAACCACCAAAGTGACCTAAAAGAAATTTAAATTTTTTTTAAAAAAAATATCTGTGTATTGTATTGAAGCTATATCAACTGAAGCTGAACTAGGGCGTGTTGTGCTATAAGGGCTGTCTTGTGTACAAAATGGTATTTTTGTACCACAGGCTGATGCAGTAAGTCAACGTCACCTTTATTTAACTGAGGAAGTCATAGAAATTACAATACATGGTTCATATTTCTATATTAAGCCTACGTTAGTAGCCACCATTTATACTTGTGCAGCATGTGCCTGCACATAAGAAAGTGTACGTCAGGTTGAAGTGTAACTTTAGAAAGGTTTGTGGTTATTACCTACAGAATTACTGCAGAAACTTGAATCATAGATTATTTAAAATGACGGGCCAACAAAAGGCAAAATCTCTAGAGGAAATGAAGCTAGCAAAAACTAAACAAAAAATATTTTATCTATAACTCATAGTAAAAAATAGACGTCTAGATTAGGCAAGACGAAATGGCTGAGAAACTAAAAAAAAAACATGCAAATAGTGGAGCTAAGCTAACATTTTCAGGCGATCATTTTCATTCAGACTTCCATGAAGGAAGTCTGAATGAAAATGATCCCCTTCCTTCCAACATGAAGTTGGAAGGAAGGAAGTTGGGGGGTTAATGATGACAGTCCATCATCCAAGTCATCCTCTAGACGTTCACTACAGAGGATCAGTTTTAGTCTGCATGCCTGAAAGAGAGAAGGAAAATGTGCATTTATATAAAGACTGATTAAGGCTGGAATTTTAACACCACCTCCTAGTATAACCTGCCTCTCTGCCCGCTTTAAGTCTCCACTGGTTCATGATTTAGAGATGGAAAAAGAAGAGAGGCAGACTGAGGAGTTATCTGGGACACTGTTTAATGATAAAACCTCCTTTTGCTGGAATATTCACTGAATAATTCAAGAATGCTGAGGAGGAGTTTTAGAAAAATGTGTGAATAATAAATACACACTGTTGGTTTGCTTCTAGACCACCACGGGAACCTTTATTTCGTCTTGTTTAAATTAAACTTCTCTGATTTTCATATTATGTAAATCGATCAGACTTTTTTTTCCCCCCCAGACCTAAAAACAAAAGATGATTATAAAAGTACATCAGCTATATCCGGGTAGAACATCTCTGTGGTTTGGCTGAAAAGGAACAGTTATTTTTAAATCCATCCTTTTCTCAGTGTTCATAGCCTGAGGCAAAGATCCACCTGAGCTCAGGTGTGCGGACACGCACTGAAAAACTATTGATTGATCCTGTAAGGGAAACATTACACTCTGATAACTTGTTTACCTCCATGAAGTGTTCTTCTGAGAGGTCACATCTCTTCCTGTCTAATAAAGAACTAATACAATTTTTTCCATCTGCGCTCAGGTTGCCGGTCCTGGAGTCCACAAACCCCTCTAGTGACTTGTCTCGGCCTCACCACATAGTGTCGGTGGTGCCCAACCGATACCCTCGCTGGTTCACTCTAAGCCACATAGAGACTCAACAGTGTGAACTGGCCTCCACGATGCTCACTGCTGCTAAAGGTACACAAACGTACATTGACTCAAGATTGGAAAAGTGCATTTTGAGGTGTTTTATGATCATACAGAATTATATATACAGAGATAGAAATAGAAATACCCGATATTCATGATAACCATCAAATTTAAAAATGAAACATCAATGCTGTCAGTAATGCACATATGAAAATTATTATCTTTTATTTCACAGTGCTGCAATATAGGGGAAATTACTACTACTATTTATTGTAGAGTTTAGGTAAATGACTCCATCAAACACACCCCTACACCACCCCAGCATCCACCTGTAGGCTTTGGGGCGATGTTTATTCATCATGCAACACGCAAATACAGGTTAAACAGCAAAAGGAAAGACTTTATTGACTGTCAAAAAAATCCCAAAGTGACCCAAAACCAGTAAGTAAAACAAAAGGGGCCACTTGACGCATATGGAATGAGGGAGAAGAAATGTCTGATTTTGAGAAAGTGTGCACGCAAAGGGAGGGTATGGTAATCAGGTGAAAACACTGAATCATAGAAAAGCACTGAGGGCAGGGCCAATAATCAGAACAGGGGAAAAAGAACGCAAGCAAAAGTACAGCAACAAAAGACCAACCAACCTTCAAAGTAAAACAGGAAGTAACCAAAACCAAACCAAACATCTAGACACAAAGGCAGGAAACAATAAAGACTAAAGAAGATGATTGTGTAGAAGACAGAAGGAATGGGAAGAAAAAGATGAAACGTTTAAAATCTAAAAACTGATACCATGGAAACGATGGCAACCTTTTTTTTCCACAATAAATTGTGAAGTGAAAATCTGATACCGTGACAGCCCTAATATTGCTCTGATGGTAATATCCTTCATGCTGCTTATCACCAATTTCAGTACTTCCCCACAGTATGTGGGAATTATTTTCAATGATAAAATGAATTAAATTAGAACAGCCTCAACCAGGATAAACAGGAAATTGGATGGAAGGCACAGTGAGCTGAGGAGATGCTGCATCTTCTCAGGCTGATGGTGTCAACTTAGACTTCTCAAAAAAAAACTGAACAGCCTCCTGTCAGAGCAATCTCGCCTTTAGTTTAGAGGCATTTAATGTTTTCTGACATGTGCAACCACATACAAGACTAAAGTAAAATTTGCTACCTATGGCAAGCGAGAGAAACTATTTTGGAAAAAAAAACCTTGGGAAAAAACCTGCAGGTACCCAGGACATGTAAGAGCTAGAGTACCCTCAAAATAACTTAGTTTCTGATTACATCTGAAGGGAAAGTGTTTTTAGCTGTTTCAAAGCACCACATGGAAAGAAGGTGCAAAAAGTCTGTCATCCTAAATAGTTGTTAGGAGGATAATTGTGTCAAACTGAGCTGTGTGCAAACAATACACAATTCAGGTTACACTTTCTGCTGTGTTCACCCATTTACATTAATTAAGATTTTACTTTAAATATCTTTTGGAAATGTGTGATCAAAGCACATGAAAAACAGAAACATAGTGTTGAACAGGCAATAAATGTTCAAATACTGCAAGTCTTGCTTGAAGGCATTTATTCAGTAAAGAACTTTGCACACCGCAGCAGCTGCTGTGTGAAGTGGGAATGTTGAAATGTTTGTTCAGGAACGTTACCAGAAATATAGAAAGTTATAATGATGTGGTATTATTAGAGGGCCTGCGTGGTGAAGAAATTGAGCAAGTTGGCTTAAGGGGCGGTGACTAAAACCTCTCGTTTCGGAGTGCGTAGGGTGCAGGGATAGATGGAATTTTTAAAAACGAGTATATAAAAGAGTGGATGGAAATAAAAATAGATTCCCTTTAAATAACGTTTTGTTCGGTGGGCTAGCTAGACAAAGGGATATATCACAAAATGTTTATGTTTTGGAAACAACAAGATTGCCTTAGTAGCAATTTTCTGAAGTACATTTATGTTAGGGTCACACTTCCAGACACTTTCAGAATTGGTCTGTCTAGTTCTTGTGATACGCTTATTTCTGTAACATAACATCAGACGTTTGTGTGGATATAAACAAGTCGTATTTGGTAACAATTTAAAAGGAATCCAATAAACCAGATTCCATAGAGAAGATGATAGTGACTTTGCTTCATTGTCTCCATTTGCTTTGTTTGATGTGTTACCAGGTGATGCTCGCAAGCTAGAAACTGTGTTAGAGTCAATCCAGAAGAACATCCACTCCTCCTCCCACATCTTTAAACTGGCCCAGGATGCCTTCAAAATCGCCACTCTCATGGACAGCCTGCCTGACCTCACGCTGCTCAAGGTTTCCCTGGAGCTGGGCCTTCAGGTAAAGAAACACACACACACACACACACACACACACACACACACACAACCCCATTCAACTATCTTAATGAGGACCTTCATTGACATAATGCTTTCCCTAGCCCCTCACCCTAACCCTAACCATTAAAAATGAATGCCCAACCCTAATCCTAACCCTCACCCTAAACCTAACCACAACGTAATTGTAACCCTGACACTAAAACCACATTTTGAGCCTCAAAAATGCCTTCAAATTTGTGAGGACCGTTGAGTGTGTCCTCACAAGTGACTGTTGGTTCTCACAAGTATAGTAGAATGCAGATTTCGGTCCTCACAAAGATAGCTAGACAGGAACCCACACACACACACACACACACTGTGCAGACTTTAATTTTGTGTTTTGTAAAGGTGATGAGGATGACCCTGTCTACACTGAACTGGCGTCGGAGAGAGATGGTGCGCTGGCTTGTCACCTGTGCTACTGAAGTCGGTGAGTTTTTCATACCAGAGGAAAATCGTGACACACACCCTCTTTACAGTGCTAATCGTGTCAGAGGTGTCAATGGTGTCTTTTTTATATAAATTGTGTTTCTGCATATTATAACCTGCATATTAATATCATCTAAGCATGGAGACTGGCATGATATTGGTTTAGTTCCTCAGCTGGTAAAAAAAACACAGCTGTCCC